CACAGCACAGCACATCCCTGTGAAACCTTAACAAGGTCAAGTGGAGAACCCTCTAGAAAAAAGGGTGTTGGCAATTCCATCCATGGAGCGTACATCTAGGAGCAGAGCAATTTATGGGAGACAGCACTCCCTCACTCATCTCCCTCCCCACGGAGTTCTGTTTGTACTCATTTCTACGTCTATAACCCAGACCACTCATTCCACATCCATCCTCCCTTTTAAGGAGTTGACGGAAAACAATCTATGCTAAAACAAAGAAAATTCTGTGATTTCAAAGCCCCTGAGGGTTGGGGTACCTAAGAGTCAATGACAAACTGGTGTGACAAGGACAACCATCGAGTGTCCATTCTGTCTTTGCTCCTCCAGGCTGGGTCAGGCCAGCCAACAGATTGCCTAGACTATCCAGTAGGATAACACTTTGTTGGATCGAAATTCTTTACGTATACACATGTCTGTATTCTGTTTGTGAAGTCTCACAACACGAAACTAAATTACATCACTGTGAATCCTGTTCTGAGGACTGAGACCTCGATTTCACTTTACTAGGAAGAGCTGTTCTTTAAATGCTTGGTCTGAAGAGGTTTTACATGATACTCGTAGATTTTCAGAGCAGGCCCCAGTTTCAACTGCAGCCCTGTCAGCACGTCATTTCTCGTCATCAAGAGCAGGGATTTTCCATCAATTTCCTAGAATGGAAAGAGAGGAAAGCCAGTGTGTGAGCAAGCGCAGCAGCTCTTGGTAATGAACATCAAGGGAAGGGTGAAGATGGACGGGAGTTACAAGATTCCTCTCCAGCTAAACACTACTGTAATGGTGTCAAACGGAATCGTCATTGTATCTTCCATCTTCTATTTCAAAGCATCTTCTGTGTTGAGATTAAACACAATCTATAGCTGATCTTGTTTTCAAGATCCTATCACAAATCTTAAGAAACCCACGGGCAAGTTTAAAATAGTATGTATCTACCTCGGGGATCAGAGAAGTTCCTTCTGAAAGGGATAAGGACATGTTCCACCCATGAAATAGATTAAAATTTGCTAGAATTCTCTATATGCTTAAGTTCCCAAACCAGTCTATAAATTACAACAGGCAGAGATTACCATCCTTAATTTATAGGCAAAGCAAGGATTGAGCAAGAAGTTTACTGGCTTGGCACAAAAAGAATCAGGGAAGAGAGGCATGGTATTTGAAAGCTTGTCTGCCCACAGCCTTTGTCTCCTTTCCTTCTGTCTCCTCATCTCCCCTCCGAAGGAAACCAGGGCTTTAAGGGCATCAGCATGGGGACCGGCATGCTACCCCAAAACCCTCTGCTCAATGCCACAACTAAATGTTTGTTATCTAGATGGCCTAACTGAGTAGACTCAAAGCTTCCTGGGAATCCTGCTAATTGTAGTGGTGGGCAACAGTAAGCATGGCTCCCCCTTTGAAAGAGACTCCCCTCTTGTCCTCCCTCAACCTGAAAACCACTGCCTTTCCACACCGAGGCTCCCTACCACGCTTCCTCTCAACAGATCAAGAACGAGGCTGTGAGGTTAGGACCCTGCCAGCTGCCAACCCCTGTCCCCTTGCACTTGGGAGCCCATCCCTTGGGTCCTGTGGGTACTCTGGAGACTACAAGGGGGGAAATCAAAATGGGCTTCCAACAAAAGAGAGGAAAATGGTCAGAACGGAGAGGGTACTTGGAATTTATGGAAAGCAAACTCCGAGAATGCTGGCTGTGACCATGCTTTTGTTATTGTTCATGGAAGAAATTGTATGTCTCTTAAGGCAGAGCCCAAACTTTAGGAGACTTGGGTCAGCTGTGCTGAAGAGTTCCTTTCATAATTTTGCCTGAACGCTCCTGGACCAACCTCGGCTGATGAGACAAGGGGACATTTCAGTGTCCACATAAAACTGTGACCCTGTTTACTCCACCCCCCAGGGAAGCCATTGCTCCCGACTCTCACGGACCTTGCCAGGCTGTGGAGAAAATATGTTGAACTCTAAGAGTGTAGAGAAGCGGCACCAGGTCAAGGGGCTAGAGAATTTCCCACTCTGCAGCCCTTGCTCCTGTCTCCCCTGGGAGGTGGAGGAACGCAGGGCTCCCAACAGATTCCACAAGGCCCTCCTGCATGCACTCCGTGAGCTACAAGTGACACACCTCCTTGTCATGCTCACTTCCACTGCTCTCCACAGCAGCTCATTTTACTTGTCAGCCACCCATCATGAAACAGCAGAACAAGGAATTGCTTCTGGCTGCCTCACAGTGTTTCTGATTTCGGGAAACATTTTTCGGCTACTAAAACATCTCATGCTGATTCGGGAGAGACAACCACCACACACAAACAAGCAGCTGCTTCAAGGGCAGTTGGAAATTACTCACAAACATGGGAAGTGACCAGTACTAAAGCTTATAGCTTAATCTCCCCACCTCCTTCCCTCCCTCCCTCTCTCTCCCCTCACTGTTAGTGATCAAGACTGACAATCAATTATACTGTAAGAGTCTGAGTGGCCTGTTAACCATTTTGAGGTGAACTTGCTTGAGAGGAGTTGTTGTCCCCAAAGAAACCCCAGGAGCAGAGCAGAGGGTACTCTGTGACCACAGCATTCTAAGATTTGGTGGCCTCAGAGCTCAGCCTCCGCTCTGGGTGAGATGAACTCAGACTTGGGAAGCCTAAGGAGCCTAGCCCTGCCCGCTCCATGGTCCCTTAGCAGTGCCTACTCAGACATGACCCTCTATGCTCCAAAGAGGCACCTCTGCGTTCAGATCCTGCTTGCATTTCTGCACAAGCAAACTGCCTTTACTAACTGAAAGTGAATTATGGAAAGAAGAAATCAGCGCTGGCCAAAGAGCCCTCTGCAGCTCAGCCTTTCTGCCAAGTGTGTCTGTGAAAATGCTGAGATTTGGATTTTACTTGAGACAAAATGGAAACTCATGCTTTATGTTCCCATTTGATGATTTCCCTTTGTCCCTCAGGCACACTGCCGTTCACCTCAGAGCAGTGGGCAGAAGGATCCCTCTGGAGACACTCACTGTGCAAGTGTTGAAATGTTCTGTCATCTACACACACAGCTTTCCCCTTTAGCCTGACCCTAGCAGCTCAGACCCAGGAGGGCAGAAGGCAGTACTAGGCGGCTGTGAGCACATGGCCAGGCAGGCAGCAATCTGAATCCTATTACCATAACCTAGGGGGCAGGCAAGCACAGGCAATCATTTAGCAACCAGGGATCCTATTCGGTTGAGCCATGTCCACATCCCTCTTCTAATGCATTTGGTAGCAAGACACCCCTATCTGTGGGTTCTAGGCACGCATGCCCTTTTCTGAATAGTGCACATGTTAGCAACCTTAGACCCCCTGGCTGCACTGAGCTAAATACACACCCTGTTCCAAACAGTGGGATGTTTCTCCTCCCCTTAGCAAATGATGGGCACGAAAAGAAACCAGCGCCTTCTGAGTCCAAGTCCACCCTTTGCTTCCTTCCTGCATCTTTGCCAGAAGGATGGAAGTGTATTCCCACTAGGGGAGAAAATTCACCAAGATTAAAATTTTCAAGAACTGCATAAAACATTTGCCTCATCAAAATCTCACCCATGGGAAAGTCCCTTGATTAAAAGAGCTAATAATTTGTTATTTAACTTCCATAATAGATTATAATTGCAAATGAAACCCAATTTTTGCTAACCAGCATTGACTGGAAACTGTAGACATCATCAGTAGCTTTTCTAAGGAGGAACTCACCCGGATCCCAGCAGTTTATTAATATAGACTGGAGGGGTGAAATGCAACCAACAGACTCTGGCTCAGCAGAACAAACAAACACCCGAGATTTTTAAATACATCACAATTAAAGCGAGAACAAAGATATAATCCACTCCCTGGGATTTCTGTGTTAATGGACAAGCATTTTCTAGCTTCACTGTGCTACAGTGTTCCTGTCTTCATATATAAGCAAACTCCAAATCCCTGTTGTGCCAGACTGTTAAAATATTTGTCTACTTAGGAAATTCTAGCAAGTTCTGATACACTCATGCAAGGTGTGGAGAGGGTAGGTCTGAATTTCCAATAGCTAAGGCTCCAGATTTATAAATCAAGGGGACAGAGTAGCTACCACATCACTGAGGATTGGGCAGGGCTGGGGCATGTTACTCCTATCTCTTCAAGCCTCATTTCCTCATCTGTAAGATGGGGAGGCAGCTACTAGACTGCTTGCAGGAGAATTCAGAGATAAGAATTCAAGACATCTACTGAGCGGCCAATACATACATACACACATACATACATAAATACACACATACATATATACATATACATACACACACACATACATACACACATATCTCCTTAACCCATGGACTTTTTACTCTCTGTCAGCATTAAATCTATGTGTAGATAACCCATTGAATTAGACTTGATCATGATATGAACCATAGGAAATGCATGTGGAGAGAGGTGAGATGGGAATAGAGAAAGAGACATAGAAAAACAGGCTAGGGAAAGAAAGGAAGAGTCACCAAGGAGGCGGCACTGGGTGGTAAGCAGCAGGGGGGACATCCGTGGAAGGGCACTGGGATTCTCCCTTTCATGTGCTGTGTCTGTCCCCAACCCCGAGTGAGAACACAGGCTGGAAGGTCAGCGCTGCTCCTCACTGGTCTTCTGTACGAACATCTGGCCCATGACTCCCCTCCACAGTGAGGAGAGCTTTGGGCTAGGCCGGCCTCTGTCTCTGCCACTCAACCCTCAGATCCCAACTGTCTTTGATGGGCATCGAGACACACATATCTCATTTGCAACTCCTGGTGAAGAATAAAATGGCAGTTCCTTACCAATCACGTGAAGGATTCCGATGCAACAGGCGTTCATTCTCTATTTTCATTGGTCCTCTCATGTCCTCTACAACTTTCTTTGTGACAACTCTCTGACCATTCACTATCCAGCTACAAGTGGTGACCAGTCTGAACTTTCCCATTCCATGGCTTACATATGGTACATGTGTCTCAGAGGCACAAGGACTCAATTTTGATCCTAGGGACATGAAAGTAGAAAATCCTGTGTCCATGATGGGGGTGACACTAAAGAAGGGGGAAGAGGCTCTTCTGGACTGAGCCATGGGACCAGTGAACCAACAGTCTCCTGAAAAGAGGTCTTCATCTTCAGTGACCTTCTGGAAGGTGCAGCGTGGCCTCCGAAAGCACAGTTCTTCCTCCAAATGGGTTTTGTCTCTGGCATCACCTCTGAGTTCCACTTTGGTACGGCCATCACCCCTGATGTCTTCGCTGGTATGGCCATCACCTCTGATTTCTCCTCTGGTATGGCCATCACCTCTGATTTCTCCTCTGGTATGGCTATCACCTCTGATTTCTCCTCTGGTACGGCTCCATCTGGACCTGTCATAGTCCTTTCGCTTCTTGGCATCAGATAAGATACGATAGGCTTCTGATACTTGTTTGAATCTCTCCTCTGCTGCTTCCTTGTCTCCTGGATTCTTGTCTGGGTGTATTTGCAGAGCCAACTGGTGGAAAGCCTTCTTGATATCAGAGGAGGAGGCATTCTGAGGCACCCCTAGTACTTTGTAATAATTCACCATGTTTCTTCAAACAGCCTTGCCCCACCAAGGGTCGAGATTTTGACAAATTTCCATATAACTTCAGAAAGGAAGATGGTCAATCATTCAAGTTTACAGCTTTGAATGTCATCACATGGTTCTTGGAGTGAAGCCTCTTCTGGTGGAGAAATTCCTCTTTAGTGTGTGGGTCCTCCCCAGGCCACCACGCCCATGCTCTAGAGGCCTTGGCTGCTCACTGTGCAGGAGTGACTATGAGGTCATCACCTCAAGCCAGTGACCCCCAGAGTCTCAGCTGATGCTGTGTCTGCCTTGTTTTCATAGTGGGGGGACATCTGAGATGGATGTTACACAAACTGGAGAGACCTTATCTTACTCAAAGATAAACACATACACAGTAAATAAGAACACCGTGTCTTGTTAACCGAGAGAAACCATTTGTGTAGCTTAAACATTATTTGCCTTGTTTGTAATAGCCACAAGTCAGCAGACGCAACATCCACTTTGGGTCACTGTGGGGGCCAACGCTTTTAGTGCCCTCCTGGGTGTCACTGTGACTTTATTATTTTATTTATTTTTGGTTTTTCCGAGACAGGGTTTCGCTGGCCTGGAATGTGTATGGGTATTTTGCTGGCTGGCCTGGAATGTGTATGAGTATTTTGCTGGCTGGCCTGGAATGTGTATGGGTATTTTGCTGGCATATATGTCTGCACACCACTTGCATGCAGTGTCTGCAGAGGCCAAAAGAGGGTATCAGATCACTTGGAACCAGAGTACAGAGTTGTGAGCCGAAATGTGGGTTCTGGAATTGAACCTGGGTCCTCTGGAAGAGCAGGCAGTACTCAACTGCTGAGACAGGTTTTCAGCCCTTGACCTTTGTTATTTAATATTTCCACTAGCACAATGGGGGTGATAGGTTGGGGGTTGTCTTAACTTTTGAAATTATATATACATTTCTGATTAAAGAAAAAAGAAAATTCATCAAGAAAGGAAACTGGGTCAAAGCAGGGTTTTTAATGGACACACGGAGGGAACAGAATCAGAAGTTTGACTCCTCATTCAGTATGTACTTCAGCTGATCTGTTAATGTGAACCTTTTGGAACTCTATCTCTGTATTTAAGAACTAAACTGAGTAGCAGTATCAGAACCACAAATACTATTTAGAAGAAAGAGCACTGGGGCTCCAGTGTAGTAAGGGTGTTCACTACCTGTCTTGATTCCTTTCTTGTTGCTGTGGCAAAATGCCCTCATAAAAGTGACTTTATTCTGGCCTACTGTTCAAGGTCTAGTCCACCATGGTGGGTGAGTTGAGACAGCAGAACTTGAAGTGGGTGATCACATGGCACCCATGGTCAGGAAGAAGAGAGCAGGGACTACATGCTGATGCTCTTCTCCTTGCTTCATGCTCTTCCCACCTCAGTCAACCTAAGCAAACAAGATCACCTCTGACAGGCACACCCTGAGACTTATCTCCCAGGTCATTCTAGGCTGTCAAGTTGTCAATGGACATTAAGCATCTCACTGCCCATTTCACAGGACACACAACTTCACATTTCCCAGATTTCTTTGTAATTTGGCATGGCGTGCGACTGACTTAAGGCCACTAAGATGTGAACCTTTTTCAGGCAGACCATGAAACCACATGCTTCCCGCCCCCCCCCTTCCTCCTTCCACTGACAGCCACCAAGAATGACAGAGGTTCTATCCCCTGGACTTTTGAAATATATTGATGCAAATCATCTCCATCAACCACATCAGACTGTTGCTGTGAGGAAGAAATAACTGTGCCATCTGACATGTTTTCACCTATTTGTGATAGGAATCGGCTACCTTTAGAACTGATTCCTGAAATGCCATCAGCTAGACAAGACCGACCTCTGGAGCACTAAATCCAACTGCTTTCTCTCCCTCTGCACTCTTCCAAATCACCCTCTCATTTCAACTCCGTGTTCTGCACTGTTCTTAGTCCCCTTCACAACCTTCTCTGTGAAGCCCTTGGCTGACGTGGGGGCCATTCTTCCATTAACCCTCTAAAGCAGCCCTCAGAGACTAATAGCCCTCTTGTGACCAGGCCACAAGCACCCAAGCCAGGGGGAGCCAGGTGGAGCCAGCAATTCCGCATCCATAGCCCATAGACCCAGTGCTGCTGACATAACAGAATAAAACCATGAAGATGACACACTGCACAACCTCAGCTAGGTCGGTACAATGTAGAGACAGAATTGATTTGGGATCCTCTCCTTTCCATTCTCCTTGGTGGTCATTCTTAGCGTTACAGGCCTTCTCTAGTTTCCGATTAAACCCCAGAAACTTTCTTCCTGTTTAGTTGAACGAAACAAACAAAAAGGGAAACCGTCAGGAAGTTCCTAAATGTCTCCCAAAGTCAGAGTGTAGTGGATCCTCCAATGAAAAGAGTCAATGCGGGTTGATAAGTTAGGTCTAAACTATAACTGGGACTCCAAGGAAATCTGCGGTGTTAATTCAAAAGTCTGGAGAACTGAAAATGGTTGAGGTGGGAGGTGGTTGATGATGCAAGTCCTGGTCGGCATCTGAAGGTCTGAGAACTAAGAACTAAGATGGCAGAAGACAGATAACCTCAGGCCACACAGGCAAACTCATTCTTCCTCCACATTCTGGTTTCCTTTCTGTTTCTGTGATAAAAATGTTCCGACTAAAAGCAATTTAGGACAGGAAAGTGTATGTGGCTTACACTTCCAGGTCAGGGTCCATCACTGAAGAAGTCGAAGCCAAAATCCAAGCAGTATAACTTGAAGCAGAAACCATGGAGGAAGGCTGCTTGGGGGCTTGCTTACAGGCTCAGCTCACCTACTTTCCTTGGACAGTCCAGGACTACCTGTGCAGAGAACGATAGTGCCCACATGGGCGGGGCCCTCCTGAACAATTATGGCTCAAGACAGCCCCTCAGAGACATGTCCACAGACCAACCTGATCAAGACAATTACTCCATTGAGACTCGTTTTTCAGCTGACCCCAGACTATGTCATGTTAACTAGGATACTCTACCTTCGTGTTCTGCTGGGGTCATCCTTGGCTTAGATGATGTCCACCCACACTGGTGAGATTATACTTCTTTAGTGTACTGATTTAAACTTTAATCTCTTCCATGAACACTCTTGTAGATACACAAGACCATAGTGATGTTCCACCTATCTGGACATCCCTTAGTTTGGTCAAGTTAACACATAAAATTAATCATCACCCATGTCTCCAATGCAGTTTCCTATCTTGATCAATTCCTCATATTATTAAAATATTGGAAAATTTTATTAACCAACTGAGCCATCATATATCATGGTTAAGATTACATTAGAAATTTTTATTGTATTAAAATTTATCCTATAGGTGAGTGAGATGGCTCTGCAGGTCAAGGCACTGTCCCCCAAACCTTGGTGACCTGAGTTTCACCCCTAGAATCCAAGTAAAGGTGGGTGGAGAGAACTGACTCCGTAATGTTTCCCAAAGGTTTCACAACTTCCCAAACAGTGCCACTAGCTTATGGCCAAGTGTTCAAATATAAGAACTGGGGATAGGCACCAATCACAGCTATCACACTCATCTATCCCTCAGATGTTGGATTTATGCCCCTCAGTGGATCCCCAGTACCTCTCTTTGCTAGGTGAGCCAATCTTTTTTCCATTCATCCCTTGCTTTTCAGCCCCATCTCCTGCCAATCTGCTCAACACCCCCAATACAAGTTTCTTGGAGTTGCCAAGACAACAAATGTTGTTTCGTGACTTTGTGTTTGGCCCTTCCTCTGCGTGGAATATTCTGGACTTCCTTCAGAAGGTTCTCCTGACTGTGATGGTTTTAAGTGGCTTTATTAAAGTAATGTTTGTTGTTACTATTGCCTTAGTACTTTTGTCTTTATTTTAATGGGTATTGTCACTGAACAAGTAAGTCAATGCTCCAAGTCTGGCTCTCTCTCAGTTTCACAGATGTTTTCTTTGTTATTTTATTTTTAACAGCTGACTTGGGTGCTTTAGCTTATTCTACGTAAATAAACATATTTTAAATATTTTTCATTACTAGTTTTGCCTTTAATTAATTCCCTTTGGCTACTTTCTGTTAACATTACTCTTTTGTTTGCATTGTTACTTAAAAAAAATCTTTTATGGCTGGGTAGTGGTGGCGCATGCCTTTAATCCCAGCACTCAGGTAGGCAGAAGCAGGTGGATCTCTGTGAGTTCAGGGCCAGCCTGCTTTACAGAGTGAATTCCAGGATAGCCATAGCTACATAGAGAAACCCTGTCTTGAAAAAAACAAAAAAAAATTTAAAAAAATCTTCCGGGGCTGGAGAGATGACTCAGAGGTTAAGAGCACTGACTACTCTTCCAGAGGTTCTGAGTTCAATTCCCAGCAACCACATGGTGGCTCACAACCATCTGTAGTGAGATCTGGCACCCTCTTCTGTCATGCAGGCATACATGTAGAACACTGTATATGTATTAAATAAATATTAAAAAAAATCTTCCATGAACTGAAGGGAGTTGCCACATTCCCTATAAATTTATTATACTATAGAATATTTTAAGTGTTTCAGTGTTCACCCAACTGTTAAGAAATATCAAGCATCAGAGTACCTTGAATATTTTCAGTGCTGGTACTACAAAATGCTAGGGTAAATCAAGTTTTTTTCTAAGGTGTGAGGTTTGAATTGGCCTAACTCAGAGCTGAATTTGTCATGAAGCTAGAGAGACTCATTTTGCACTTGAACAATTTTGTACTCATAATTCTCTGACATATGTCAAAGCAGGGCTCCAGAGCTGGAGATACTTGAAGCTCCACAGAAGCTGGGCTTGTCCCTGGTCTAGTGGGCACCATGAATCTAGAGGTACTGCAGTCACATGACTTTGGACACTGAGCTCCTTGTGGTTATGATGGGCCTCCCACTTAGCAACTCCCGTTTGAGGTGGGCAGTGTATCTGACAACATGCAGCAACACAAAATTCTGTTTTTCTTCATTAAGATGGCTTCTTCAAAAAGTTGATCAACGTTAGCAGCAATGAGCCATCTGAAGAGAAAGTCCACTCTTCAGGTTTAAATTATAACTTAACCAGATGGGTATTTCAGGTAAGAGGCTGTTTTTTTGTGGCTAAGGGAAAGGTAATGGAAGAAAGTTCATTGGCTACTTTGAGTTGCATGTTATTTTGTCATGATATTCTGAGGCGGAAAGTGATTTCAGAGATCCATAGTGTTCCAGAAATAAAATTACTGATGTCACTCACTTAC